CTGCTGAGGTATAACTAGAGGACACGCCGTCCGGTCAGAGATCTGGAGTGGGAATCAGAGAAGAGGTCTCTCTGTGGTGATGGTTAAACATATGGCCAGGTAGCCAAGCCATTACCCTCGAGATTTCCCCAAATCAGGAGGCTGCCCATCCACCTGGTGAGATTGAAACTTTAGGTGGGCGGCATCCTCAAGGCTAGAGAGAGTAGTCATGTGTGCAAGGCCCTGTCTACTCCTCAGTCCTCACAACAACCCCACGAGCCAAGTTCCGTTGTACAGTTCCCCGTTTTACAACCGAGGAAACTGAGGCACAGAGTGTCACAAAGCGGCGGCGCCCACAGCCCAGCCCAGGCTCCGTGTTCTGAACCACTGTGCTGGCCTGCCTCCCCCAACCAGCCGTCCAAGCCCCAGCCAGCCCAGCACAGGCCAATGTAGAAGGAGAAATGGCCTTCCCTAAACCAGTGTCCTTTGTGAAGAAAGAGGGATCTGGGTTTAAAAAATGTCCTTCGACTCAGGAGGAGCAGGAATAGGGAGATGTCCTCTGTCCGTTCTCACACTCTCACCCTCTCCGCCTCGCAGAACTTCTGTGGGAAGGAGGGGATGTGCGACACCCTGGGCGTGGCGGACATTGGCACCATCTGTGACCCCAGCAAGAGCTGCTCTGTGATCGAGGACGAGGGGCTCCAGGCGGCCTACACGCTGGCCCACGAGCTGGGTAAGAGCCGCCCTGCCCGCCTGCTCCACGCTGCCTCTTCCAGACCCAGGCTCACCCAGCTCTGAGCAATCGCGGGCCCTCCTGGTCAGCCAGGTCCCCCTCCTGATTCCGTGGACCTGTGAACCAGGAGGTCACCCGTTCCATTCCTGGTCAAGGCACATGCCTGGGTTTCAGGCTCGATCCCCACTGTGGGGCCTGCAGGAGGCAGCTGATCAATGATTCTCTCTCATCATTGATGTTTCTCTCTCTCTCTCCCTCTCCCTTCCTCTCTGAAATCAATTTAAAAATATATATTTTTAAAAAGTAATAAGAGGGCATGCTGCTCCCTCAGTCCCTCCCTTCTCTCCCTCCTCCTCCTCCTCTTCCTTCACCTCCTCTTTTGCTTCTTCCTCTCTCTCTCTCTCTCTCTCTCTCTCTCTCTCTCTCCCCCATGGGAGCCCTGGAGCAAGGTGGGGAGGGCTTCCAAGCAGTGGAGGCTGTGAACATAGACCGAGGGTCTCTCTCTGTCCCCAGGGCACGTCCTCGGAATGCCCCACGACGACTCCAAGCCCTGTGCACGGCTCTTTGGGCCCATGGGCAAGCACCACATGATGGCACCCCTCTTCGTCCACCTCAACAAGACATTGCCCTGGTCTCCCTGCAGCGCCATGTACCTCACGGAGCTCCTGGACGGTGGGCACGGTAGGCCTCCCTGGCCAGCTGCTGGCAGCGGTGCTCTGCCCGGCAGGCTCCTTACTGAGCTGCATCAGGAAGCATCATAGCCATTGAGGGTTAGAAGAGGCTTCAGAGATCTGGCCCTTGCCCCTCGGCCTGTGCCGGGGCCTCCCCATGCCCACAGAGCATGCTCCTCCTTGCCCATTGTCCAGCAGCCTGAGTCCCTGGCTCATCTAGACTCAGTCACAAAGCAGGTGGAGTTGGGCGGAGGAGGTGGGTCTGTACAGAGCTGGGAGGAGCAGAAGAATGTTTGCAGCGCAGAGGAGGGAAGAGTATGGGGCTGGAGCGGGACATTGTAGGATCGCTTAGCAAGGCAAAGAGAGCAGGGAGTGGGGGCCCAGGTGGGCCGGAGCGTGCGCCCGGCTGAAACAGCTTGGTTTGTGGAGCAAAACAGTGAAACACAATTTCTTTTTGATTCTTCCCCTTGAAGGAGGCAGGCTCACATATAACACAAAAATGATGGATTATCCAAACAGCAGCCCTTGGGCTCCATTTTGCAGGCCATGGTTTTTAAGAGTTCATTTACACCCCCGGGGTACATTGACCTACATTAGTATTACAGTTTGCTGGGTAAACACTGAGTCAGGTAAGATATTCTGGAAAACAAAGGAAATCCGATCTTGAAGATAACTGCTGTGACTGATAGTCGAAAATGGGACAGATTCTGTCTGGATGGCGAGTGTTGAGTTTTTAGATGGAGGTCAAGGGAAAGCTAATGTCTAGAGCTTAAACTTGTCCATCGGGACTTTGGGGGGGTCCTATGGGAGCCATGCGGGGGTGAGAGAGGAAACGGGCCCCTGACTCTGGCCTCTGCTTCCTCCGTTTCTCAGGAGACTGTCTCCTCGACGCCCCCACCTCGGCCCTGCCCCTCCCGACCGACCTCCCGGGGCAACGGGCGCTCTATGAGCTGGACCAGCAGTGCAGGCAGATCTTCGGGCTGGGCTTCCGCCACTGCCCCAATACCTCTGCGCAGGACATCTGCGCCCAGCTCTGGTGCCACAGGGATGGCGCCGAGCCCCTCTGCCACACGAAGAACGGCAGCCTGCCCTGGGCGGACGGGACGCCCTGCGGGCCCGGGCACCTCTGCTGGGATGGCAGTTGTCTTCCTGCAGAGGAGGTGGAGAGGCCCAAGGTGAGCAATGGCTCCTGGGGACACAGAGGTCGGGTGGGGTGGGGTGGGGTGAGGGGCAGAGTAGGGAGAGCTGTTTGCGCGGAGAAACCACACTTGACAGTGAGGAACTAAGGGACTCGGGGCTAGGCTGCAACCAGGACTTCTAAGTAAAATCACTCATAATTTTAAAAATGTTTTTATTATTTTCAGAGAGGAAGAGAGAGGGAGAGAGAGAGACAGAAACATCAATGATGAGAGAGAATCATTGATCGGCTGCCTGCTGGCATGTGCCCTGACCAGGCATTGAACCGTGACCTCCTGGCTCATAGGTCAACGCTCAACCACTGAGCCATGCCCACTGGGACAGTCATATTTTTACAAACAAAACAAAGCATATTTATCCAAACACGAGAGGAGCCTTGGAAGCTGAGCTTGTAGTGAATGGATGATGCCACCGGTGCCGGGGCCTGTGGGGAGCTCCCTGTGGGATGGATGCTCTGGAGCTGACCTGGAGGCTGTGGAGGTTGGTGATTATAGGAGACACTCCGGCCGCAAGACCAGAGCCTGGGCACTCGGTAAACGGAAGCCATTCTGGAGTCTTTATAAACAGATAAGAGTGGCCTGGAAGAAGACATTCCATCAAATGAAGGGAGAGGGCTCATATCCTACCCATGTCTGAGCTGAATTTATAATGAGAGGTCGGGAGAATGAGAGTAACTGTGGGGATTCCATACTCAGGGCGGGGGAGGGGAGGAGGAACCAGACGGGCTCTGACAGGCAGAGAAAACTTGGCCCCGGACACAGCGAATCTGCAGGAGAATCCAAGGCAATGCCGCTGAGAGTTTTAAATGATTCGCTTCTTTGCCCTGCTCTTAATCCTTCCAAACCATGGGCTGATCACATTTCTCCTGCCGCCAGTCACTGAGCCGCCCCTGTGAAACGGCATCCGTGGAGTTAGGCAGCCTGGTCCCGGCCCAGCACTGAGCACCAGGGTGGCCCGAGCAGTCACTCTCCCCAGGGCTGTTCTCAGTGACAGAGTCCTCGGCACTGAGACTCAGGAGCCGGGGTGGGAGTCACGGCTTCACCCTCAGCCGCCTCTCATCCTCCCATCAGACACCTAGCTTCTGGTCCAGGGGTCTCCCTCTCCTGTAGGGTGAGCTTCACACATCACTGAGGAGAGGGGTAGGGAGGGGGTCCGTGCAACCTTCCCCAGGCCAGAGCCACGCTCAGTGCCAGGAGCGGTTGACATGGATGCTCATGGCATGCTCTTTCTCATCTAATACTATATCTGTGTAAAATAAAAAACATCGCACCTTTATGATTATATATTCAAAGCAAAAATATGGAAGGATATTGATGAAAATCATGCCAATTTTTTTTATCTGGGTAGTTACACACTTTTTAAAATATATTTTCATTTATTTCAGAGAGGAAGGGAGAGGGAGAAAGAGAGAAACATCAATGATGAGAATCAATGATCAGCTGCCTCCTGCAGGCCCCACAATGGGGATCGAGCCCACAGCCCTAGCATGTGCCCTGATAGGGAATCTGAACTGTGACCTCCTGGTTCATCGGTCGCCGCTCAACCACTGAGCCACGTCAGCCCCGCTAGTTACACTGTGTTCCTTTCTTTTTTACACTTTTCTGTATTTTTCATTTTTTATATAAGCAAATGTTACTTTTTTTTCCATTTTAAAAATTATTTTCAGTTTGAAAACCCTTGAGCGCACCAGTGGCAAAGCTTTGTCCTCACAGGCCAGCTGTAAAGTCGAAGCAGCTCTGTTTATTTCCCAGGGACCATCTGGCCCCTGCCCTGGCTGGCCGACCGGCAGCCACACCTCCCAGCGGTTATTGCTTTAGACCAGCACTCCTCAACCCTGGCATAGTGACAAGGGGTGGGGTGGGGGGGCTGGAGGTAGGGGGGTGTCTTGTTCATGGTTGGCTGTGCATTGCTAGGTGCTTAGCAGCCCCTCATCCTCTCCCCACTCTAGGCCAGCGGCATAGACCCTCTCCAGCTGTAACAGCCAAAATGTCTCTAAACACTTCCAAACGTCCCCAGTGAAGAATTGCTATGACAGAGCCAACCTTATTGCCATGAAAGAGTTTCATTCGACAACCAGCACTGAGTGCCCTGCTGAGGGCAAGGCGCTGTTTCAGACGCTGGACGGTCGCCGTGCTCCGGCCTCTGTTCACAGAGCCCACAGCCAAGCAGGCCATGTGGCCATGAAACGAATGGTTAGGGCGGGTTACTGAACCCCATGCCCCATTCCTATCTCAGCTCCTGACTTGGAGGTTCTGTGTTGCAGGCAGTGGTGGACGGAGGCTGGGCCGCCTGGGGGCCTTGGGGAGAATGCTCCCGGACCTGCGGAGGAGGGGTGCAGTTCTCACACCGGGAGTGCAAGGACCCCGAGCCTCAGAACGGAGGGAGATACTGCCTGGGGCGGAGAACCAAGTACCAGTCCTGCCACACGGAGGAATGTCCCCCTAGTGGTAAGCATCACTGATGGCCACACCTGCCTAAGATCCCCAGAGGAGGACGGAGCAGGCAGTCTCCCAATCCCAAGGCAGTGCCTTCCTGTGACCCAGCCCAGTTTTAGGGCAGCCCCTAGCACCCCAGGACAGCTCCCCTCGTGCAGGGGTGGGGGTGGGGGAGCAGGGATGGCAAAGCCCGGGAGAGGAGCAGCCCTGGCCTTCCCAGATGTGGAGATAGAGGATGTCACTCCCAACCAAACTCGTTTGCTGGGAGGAGGCTTGTAGAGAAGGCTTGGGTTTGGGGTAACATGCCTCCTGGAGGCCTCTGAACCCTTGTCTGTGTGCGGACTGGAAGCGTTTTCCAAAGCCAATGTCAGAGCCAAACCTCCAATATCTTCCCAGTCCACATCCAGCCCGGGCGGGCGGAGGGAGGGTTTCTGCGTCTGATTCCAGTGCACGTTCCTTCAGGGGAGAGTTGCCCATGTTCCCTTGGGGCCGTGGCAACTGCCTCGGAACCTTCCCAGGAGGCACCGCTCCTTGGCATATACCTCCCTTGGCGTGCTCCTACCCCAAGTACCCGCTAGAAAGCACAGGCACTGCCTCAGAAGCAGGCACGGGCAGCAGCCGAACGGGTGAGAGGGCGTCGTTGGGAATTTTGTCCCTGCCATGCTGCGCAGCTCCCCCCAGTGCAGCTCCGGGAAGTACTGGCAGGCAGCAGAAGGTCCATCCAAGGGCAGAGACACCCTGCCACTGGCTTGGTGTCTAATGGGGCATCTGCAGCAGTTTTGCACGACGGGAGAAACAGCAGTGGCAGGGGCTCTGGAAACTGCCTGGAATTGGGAGAGCCTGCCTGGCACACGGGCGAAGCATTCCCTGGAACGGTGAGGGTTTGCCAGGTAGACACGGACAACAGTCATGAGCTCAGATGCACTGGGAGGAGCCATCTCAACCCACAAGTGTCTTACTGCCTCTTGTGTGGCTAGACTGTAATCGATGTTATAAATGACATAAAAAAAATGCACAGAGTGTGGTCTCCATCCACAAGGAATGTGCAGTCTAGCTAGAGATCCAGACCCTTTTACAAGGCCAGTAAAACTTAATCTGTGAAGCACAGACTCCTGGCTCCTGAGGAATTCCGAGCAAGGAAGAGCCGGGACTGGTCAGAAGCTCCCGGCTGCGTGAGGGCTGAGCAGAGCCTGGGGACTGAGATGGTGAGGAGGCCTGGGAGGGTGGGCCAGGAGACGAGGAGGTCTCCAAGGGGCTGTGACTCACCAGATGGAATGGGCCGGCCTTTCAAGAGCAGACGACAAGGTCCATGAAAGCTAAAAAAATGGCATCTAGACGTTCTCAGTGCCAGGTGTCCTGGCCAGTCACCTGGGAAGCATTTTCAAACCAGAGGCCTAGGCCCCTCCATGTACTGATCAGAATCTAAGGAATGGGGCCCAGTCATCTGTGTGTGAAAAGTCTCCACGGCCACGCAGATGCCCAGCTGAGCCGAAGGACCTGAGTAACGAGAGCAGGTTCAATGCCAGGATTGTGAAATAAAGTCGTACTCCCACGATTGTTCTGGAAGCGGCGGGCAGCAGGATAGGACAGGAGGCAGCTGGCGTAGGCGGCTGGGCACTAGGGCCCCAGGGAAGCCAGGAGGCCTGGGCCTATGAGAGGGAGACTGAGGTGCTGAGAGGGGACAGAGACATTTAAAACCAGATTTTCCTGGTGATAGAAGGATTTAAGGACAGCTCAGACATGGAGGATGTAGAGTCTCAGCCTGGAGCGTGGAGGTGTCACCCAATGAAAATCAATCCAGGTAATGAGGGAACCGTGTGCAGCTGGACTGTGCTGAGCTGGTAATCACAGCACCTACACATGGAGTCCCCCACAGACACCCAGAATCGCAGCAGGTGGGGCGTAGGGCGAGACTGGATCTGGAGCTGTAGATCTGGAAGTCCCCGGCCGCGTGTCCAGTGTCACCGAGGGAGTCAAGATAGAGAATGACAGCAGAGGCCCCAAAACATAATTCCGCACGTCACTCTGTGCTTCCCACACTCACTGAATTGTCCCGTTTCCACCTAAGTTTATGTTTCTGTAAAACACAATGTCTTCCTCCAATAGAAAGGACATTCATCCCAGAAAGGCCAGCAGAGGCCAGATGCTCCTAAGGGTCACAGGTGGACCTGGGTCAGGTGGACCTAGAAATACTGGGCCCAGATGACACTGGACCTGTGTCCTGGGGTCTGGTCAAAACCAGGCGGAAAAAAGGCCCCCAAATCCAGGCATTTCTCCAGCTGGGTCCTCCCTGCTTCAGCGCGGCGTGTTCACTCCATGCCTTTTTCTTACTCTTTTCAGAGAAAAGCTTCCGGGAGCAGCAGTGTGAGAAGTATAACGCCTACAATTACACCGACATGGACGGGAACCTCCTGCAGTGGGTCCCCAAGTACTCGGGGGTGTCCCCCCGGGACCGCTGCAAATTGTTCTGCCGAGCCCGGGGGAGGAGTGAGTTCAAGGTGTTTGAGGCCAAGGTGAGACTCCTCTTGGAACTCAGAACCACAGAGGAGGATGAAGGGCACCTACCAGCACCACCACCTCTCCCGACCCCCCGCCAGGGGCTGCCTCTGTGCCCACCATACCCACTCTTCCTTTCCCTTCTCCTGCTGCAGGTGATCGACGGCACCCTCTGTGGGCCAGAGACCCTGGCCATCTGTGTCCGTGGCCAGTGTGTCAAGGCTGGCTGTGACCACGTGGTGAACTCGTCTACGAAGCTGGACAAATGTGGGGTGTGTGGGGGCAACGACAACTCATGCAGGAAGGTCTCCGGCTCCCTCAACCCATCCAGGTGAGCCTCCTCGTAGTTCAGTACCAAGGTCAGGAGCAGAGCAAGCTTTGGAATCATGTCCCGTAAGTTTCGACTGTGCTGCTACTTAATACCCATGGAATACTGAGTTTCATTGTCTTGGTAAAATGTCAGCAGTCCTCCGCATCTCAGAGTCATTGTAAAGAGCCATGAGATGGGACATGGGGAGCACTTGGTACAGGGTCTGGCCCACAGAGAGGACCGTGCATGGGGCAGCCAGAGGCCACAGGGATAGGGAGTCAATCAACAATAGAGCTACACTGAGTAACCAGGACTTTGCCAGAGAGCAGCTCTTCCAGGCCTGTTTGGGGAAGGGCACCTCACCCCACTCCTGGCGAGCCTGTCTTTTGGCAGCTGAATCTTTAGAAAAGGGGGTACAGGGAGGGCGGCCTCCATGGCCTCAGAGGCCTCAGTGCCTTCATAAGTCTGAGCACTCCAGACGCTTTCTCACAGCTTAATGCTCCTAGTATTTAAGTCCTTTCACCTCTGTGACCTTGTTTGATTCCTAAAATAAATCCCTGAGGTGAGCAAGGCCAACACTATTATCCCCCACTTACAGATGAAGAAACTAAGGTTCCATAAGATTACCAGACTCTTCTAAGGTCACACTGAGCGTTCATAACAGCCAGGAAGAGAACCCAGGTTTCTTAGCTCCTGGATAATCTTCCTGCCGCTGCAGGCACTTCCGAGAGGAAGGCAAGAGCAGGTGCTATGCAGCCACTCTGGGCCCCTGTCTCACATCTCATCAGGCTCAAGAGAACAGGATCAGCCCACAGCAGACAACCTAGAGGTCTTTTCAAATTTAAAATCAGGGGATATAGAAAAAAGAAGCCTGGAATATGGGGTGTCCAGATTCTGGGTCCCCCAGCTGGCTCTCTCTTAGGCATGAGACAAATGAGCCCATGGATGAGAGATAGAAACATCAATGATGAGAGAGAATCATCAATTGGCTGCCTCCCGCATGCCCCACACTGGGGATCAAGCCCACAAGCCAGTCATGTGCCCTGACTGGGAATCAACCATGACCTCCCAGTTCATAGGTCAATGCTCAACCACTGAGCCACACCAATGGGGCCTTATGGATACTTTCATGCGCCCTGGACTAGGCAGCTGGCCCCCGCTGGGCATAAGGCAAAAATAGCGAAGAACCGACTGGCTGTGTTTCTCAGTCCCTTTCATTTCTTCCCAACCTGTGTCACCCAAATGCTTCCACCCCAGAAGATAAGAACAAGACTAACATTCCTCCAGACACATAAATCCCTACAATAGCATTGAAATAGTTTCCCAAGACAGCATTCTATCCACCCAGAAGCACGGCTCGAGGTATCTGGGTCCATCGGAAGGCAGCTCCTCTGTCCGGCTTCCTGCCCTAGAGCCATGTGAACCCAATACAGAGAACTGTGGACTCTCAGAGGTGGGGTGAGGCGGCGGATTCTGGAGTGAGTGTGTGGAACGCATTCTCCCACGTGGGTTTGAGCTCTGGCTATGAAAGTAGCAAAGCAAAGTTTTATCCCAGTGCAAAAACGAAATGTGTTTGAGATCTCATTTGAGCCAAGGGTTGCCAGGCTTGGCAACCCCCTCTGAGCAGCCTTCCTCCCGTGCTATTGTCAAGACCCACACATCTCACCTGCTCAGCCCCGACATTGGAAATGGAGTTGTCGGCCCCGGCAGCTAGTTGATGTAGAGCTTCGAGGCGACTGCATCATTATTTGCTACTGGTTTTGTCTGCCAGCCCCAGTCACCAGCAGGTTCACTTCCTTAGGCTCTGGGCTGGGAAGGCACCGGTCCTAAGGGTGTCTTTCTGTTCCTGTCCTAGTTATGGCTACAACGACATCGTCACCATCCCAGCTGGTGCCACGAACATCGATGTGAAACAACGGAGCCACCTGGGGGTCCAGAACGATGGCAACTACCTGGCATTGAAGACCGCGGACGGGCAGTACCTGCTCAACGGGAACCTGGCCATCTCCGCCATAGAGCAGGACATCTTGGTGAAAGGGACCATCCTGAAGTACAGTGGCTCCATCGCCACCCTGGAGCGGCTGCAGAGCTTCCGGCCCCTGCCTGAGCCTCTGATCGTGCAGGTCCTGACAGTCCCCGGTGAGGTCTTTCCCCCCAAAGTCAAATACACCTTCTTTGTCCCCAATGACGTGGACTTCAGCATCCAGAGCAGCAAAGAGAGAGTGACCACCAACGTCATCCAGCCCTTGCTCAACGCGCAGTGGGCGCTGGGGGACTGGTCCCAGTGCTCCAGCAGCTGCGGGGCTGGCTGGCAGCGGCGGACCGTGGAGTGCCGGGACCCCAGCGGCCAGGCCTCCGCCACCTGCAACAAGGCTCTGAAACCCGAGGATGCCAAGCCCTGTGAGAGCCAGCCGTGCCCTCTGTGACCGAGTGGGGCGGGGCCAGTCGTGCTCATGGACTCGGGCTGCTGGGGTGCCAACAGGTGTCCCCACTGTGGTGACCCTCCGTGTAGAGGTGGCATAGCCGACCCTGGTCTCACCTTGCACCAGCCCCGCCGGCACGGGGAGGGGAAGAGAGGATGGGCCAACCGAATATAATGTCTACTTTCTCGTGGATGGGACCTTGCTTGGGTTCAAGTAGAGGGCATAGGTGAAAGGTGAAAAGTGCACCAGACCCAAACGGGAGACTCATTGAGCCTGTTTGCAAAGGACTAGCAAAGTTAAATGGGAAAAAAAATTGTTTTCTATTGGGTTTCCCCTATAAATAATCTACCTCAAAGGGGGAAAAGTATCCAAGAGAGGTGTGAGGCAGGGGGCCAATGGCGAATGTCACAGCAAGCTCCTGAGCTGGCTTCCAACGTGATCATGACTCTCTTCAGTATTAAAAACCCATCACCTGCGGGGCTGCAGGGCTGTGGAGAGCCACGTGTTCTCAGGCCTCCACCTGCAGGGGTGGCTCCCGTTCAAGTATTTATGCAGATGTGTCTCTGAACTAAAGTGTGATCTTGTGCCAACATCATGGTCTGGTCTGGTTCCGTGTTTCTTTTGAAAGGGCAGGCGCCCAGAGCCCCAGGACAAAGGCTCGCACTGGGTCAGCACCTTGAACACACTGGGAAGCGGGCACTCGCTCCAAGAGTCGTTTCCGGCTTCCTCCGGGGCTCTCGGACACCTGCTGGAGCAGCTGCTCATTTGCATAATCCAGACAAGTGGTCCTCAAACGTTCGTGGGCATTAGGATTATCCAGAGAGCTTCTTGAAACACAGACTGCTGGGCCCATCGTGTCTGATTCAGCAGGATGATCCTAATGCCCCTGAAATGAGAGTCTGCATTGCCAACAAGTTCCCCGGGGGACATGGAGGCTGCTGGTTTGGGGGCTGCCCTTCGAGAATCACTGCCCTGGTGGAAACTTCCAGTGCACAGGAGTCGTTGTTATGCGAGGCCTCTGGGCTCCTTTTTCTTGAGCAAGACTATCATCCCCTTCCCCTCTGCATGTGTGCCCATCCTCACTTTTACCTACTGACCAGCTGGAGATACAAGCCCCTTCGGGTCTGAGGGATTCAGAGCCCTGGCCCTTTCTCTCCACACCAGATCCATTCCCATCCCTGGGCCCGAGCAACTGCAGCTGTCCCCACCGGCCCTTTTACACAAAGGGCATGTCTGCCCAGCCCCCAGAAAGCTACCTCTAAAACCCCCTCTCCCGTCCCTAGCTCCTCATCTCTTCCTGGCTCACGGGAAGCGTCTGGCTCAGTCTTCCATGCGGTCTGTTGTAGATGATACGGAGTCATTGGTCATACATGGGTGAGGAGAAACAGACAACATCAAGAAACAATATTCAAGCGAAAAGAAAGAAAATATGTCCATTTTCATCTTCCCTCCCTTGTCACCTTTTACCCATTTGCCCTTCCCTTTGGTTTTCTCTTAAGCCCCCTTCAAATATATGGTGACATGGACAAAGAAGATGCTCTATGGAGCCCTACGTGTATGAGAAAAAGGGCCCGCTGAGGACTCAGGCCCTTGGGTACGAGGCAAACTGGATTTCAGACCCTACCGTGCCCTTAGCTCAGGTGTGGGGAACCTTGTATCTGCCAAGGGCCATTTGGATATTCATAACATCATTTGCAGGCCATACAAAATTATCAGCATAAAAATTAGCCTGCTGTATTTGGGCAAACATTTAATTAACTCCCCCCTAATGCCTTGGCAGGGCCAGACCAAAGGATATCATGGGCCTTCTACGTCCCTCGGGCCAGACGTTCCCCACCCCTGCCTTAGCTGGTCACATTAATGCGGTGCACGGTGGCTGTTGACCAGTTTTCCCGTCTGCCCTTCTGATCTTCCGACTGTTTGGTGAGTGGGAGGCGGACTTACCTAAACATAAACAAGCACTCACGCAGGCATGCCGACGATGACTAGTAACACCAGAGCTGTCCTTGCTGTGCGTCAGTTTCGCTGAGGCTCGTGTATGTTTCTGCCATTCTTCATCTCCTTTCATTGCTCATTCTCCCCCAAATAATCAAGGCCAAGTGTGTCCCCCATTAACTGCTCAGGCCGGTCCAGCTGTGCCATCCCTACCGCCTGCATCACACCAGGCACAGCTTTCGCCCTGGAGTTCAGCTGGCAGCAGGGCTGCTGATGTGCAAAGCAGAAAGGAATCCAGCTTGGCTCTTCCTCGCTGTGTGGGCTCGGCCAGGCGCACAGAATACATACTTGTTTGTGTCTGGAAATCCAACAGCTGCAGCTCAGGGCCTCGGAAAACAGATCTGCAGAGAGAGGCCGCACCATTATTTCCCACAGCCAACACGACCACCCTTTTTTGTCCAGATAAGAAAAGACTGCGTTTGCACTGCTGGGATTTTGCGTGTTGTAGTTAGCGCTCCTCACGGACGCTAGTACCGGCGCCTCCTCCTGGGAGTCCCCGTGGCCCTGACTCGTCAGGTGGTCTGGTCATTCATCTGTATCCTCCCAGTACTTGCCGTAAACATCTCATCAAAGGGGTTGGATTAACGTCCAAGTTCATTGCAACCTTGAGATAAGTGAATCCTTGCCTGAAATTTATTTTCTGCCCTTATTCCCCCGTAGCTGGCCGGAGAGTTTTGTGAATTTACAAAAGGATGCAACACAATTGTTCCCCAACCCACTTCAGCAAAACACCCCTTTCTCCCAGGAACATCTTCCAGGAGTGATGGGGCCATTTTCCCACCAGCTCTACTACATCTTGCTCTCGGATGACGTCCACTAGCTTCTAGACCAGTGGTTCTCAACCTTCCTAATGCCGCGACCCTTTCATACAGTTCCTCATATTGTGGTGACCCCCAACCATAAAATTATTTTCGTTGCTACTTCACAACTGTAATTTTGCTACTGTTAGGAATCGTCATGTAAATATCTGACATGCAGGATGTATTTTCATTCTTACAAATTGAACATTATTAAAGCATAGTGATGAATCACAAAAACAATATGTAATTATATATGTGTTTTCCGATGGTCTTAGGCGACCCCTGTGAAAGGGTCGTTCGACCCCCAAAGGGGTCGCGACCCACAGGTTGAGAACCGCTGTTCTAGACCCTTCGAGTTTGGGCTTTTTAACCAAGTGGGCCTCCTAATGAGGGCTGCTCCTCCGTCCTAGCATCCAGTCATCTGATGCTTCTTTCCTCTGGACTCTCTTCTTTTCGTCCAAGCTTTGCTTCTCCTGCTAAAAAAAAAAAAAAAAAAAAAAAAAATGAAAGGCCAAAAAAAAATTTTAATGACAAGAACAATGGGAAAGTTCTTCAGAATATGTTGGCTTTGGCTTTGTCTTGATAGTTTCAACTTGCGGTCCAGGGAAAACAAAACAAGCAGCTTTGTCACCACTGCATGCTTGAGTGTGCGAAGCGGGAGGCAGTGTCGCTGCTGGGTGCCAGGGCTGCGCACACGGCCCAGACGCCCAGTGTCCAAGTCTCCCCCGGGTCCAAGAGAGGCTCACGGGCCCACAGCCCCTTCTACTCCATGTGGTGGGCCTCGCATCACCGGTCCCTACAGGAAACAGCCGCATCCTCTTTGCTGTCTGGAGATTAGGGATGGCTTGTCTCTTAGAGTGAACAGAAATCTGGAACTTACTACAGAGAATCAGCTGTGGTATGACCCCTGAGTTTCTAGGTTTCTGCTGCCACTGCCTTACGACTTCCTTTTGCCTTGGTGGTGCGTTGAAGCTGTTACTGAACATGTGGCCAAGATAAAACATGAGAGAGGGTGAGCGTGGTGAAGATAGTGAAGGCCGCGTCCTAAGTAAGTTAAGTGACTGTCCCTGACTCCTGTCCTCCTCCCGGCCTGCCCTGCTCTGTGTAGATTGGAGGAGAGCCCCTGAGTGAAGAGAAGAATACTCCCACCAGCGTACCCCACCCCAAAGTCCACCGTCAGATGGACAATAAGCCATCCCAAGACCCTGAGCAGGCACTGCCCATGGGCGTTCGATGGAAGGTAGAGGAAGGGAGCACGACCACCCCCACCCTCACACACCCCCTCCCCCCGAGAAAGATAAGCAGGGACTTGTTCACCTTGGGGGCCCTTGCTGAAGGAGAAAAAATCTCTATGAGAAAGCTCCCCACCAACACAGCTCATTTTCCAGTGGCCCCTGCCTGTGCTGCAGCTTTAAGAAAGTTGCATGTGTGCCCGGCCAGGATGGCTCAGTAGTTGAGCATCGACCTATGAACCAGGAGGTCCTGGTTTGATTTCTGGTCAGGGCACATGCCCAGGTTGTGGGCTCCATCCCCAGTAGGGGGCGTGCAGGAGGCAGCTGATCGGTGGTTCTCTCTCATCGTTGATGTTTCTATCTCTTCTCCCTCTCCCTTCCTCTCTGAAATGAATAAAAATATATCTTAAAAAAAAAAAGAAAAGAAAGCTGCATGTGGAATGTGAAAGGGAAAGAAGTCACCAACCTCAGTGGCATTTTGAAAATTTTCTAAAAAGAACAGAATAACACATCGCAGGAGCTCAAAGTTGGGAAGCTGAGTGAGCAGGGAGATTGGGCTATGACCCCGTACCCTCTCTGACTCATCAGCTCTGTGTCGGCCCTTCCAGGCACCTGTCTGCTATCTAGGCTGAAATTTCCCAACAGCCTGGCTGGATGTATCCAAACTGGTGTGCCCCTTACACCTGTCCACCCTTCCTCAGATGTGGAGCTTCTCTGGCATTCCAGTTGCGAGGTAGTTGGCCTTCCGTGCTTAAAATTGAGTGACATGCCCTAGCCGGTTTGGCTCAGTGGATGGAGCATCCGCCTGCAGACTGAAGCGTCCCAGGTTCGATTCCAGTCAGTGGCACGTGCCCGGGTTGCTGGCTCGGTCCCCAGTAGGGGGCATGCAGGAGGCAGCTGGTCAATGATATTCTCTCCTATCATTGATGTTTCTATCTCTCTCTCCCATTCCATTCCTCTCTGAAATCAATAAAAATATACTTATAAAATAAAATTGAGTGACAGCCAAGCCACACCCCCCAAAAAACTAGGCAAAGGGGTTCCTCACAGACACAGCTGCAGTATTGGGAAGATAAAGATGAGAAGACCCCTGTACAAGCACGTTCCGCACAATAATGCTAGTGCAGGGAGAAAAAAATATAAGAGGCTTCTAAGATACCTGTCCCTTTGAGAACATACTCTCCCTCGGGGTCTGGGTTGGGCTCAGCGATGAGAGACAGGAAAGCGCTGGCTAGTCTCCCACCCCTATGAGCTGCCCAGCCTACCCTGGGAAGATACATGATTGCCCCAGGAAGAGAGAGAGTCAAGAAGCCTTGCTCAGACCTCACCATTCCTCATTCCAAATATCGTGTAAAGTCGCAGGCACACTGAAGAGTTTGTCCTCAGCCAAACACAACTTCCTGTTTCTAAGAAAGGGAAGAAAAAAATAGTTGAAAGGGTTTTTGGACACTGGCGATTTCAAGTTTCTATAAACGCCAATGAATCAGACACATGTGGAATAAATTTCTCCGGAAGTAAAAAAGATGCTGTGAGTTCCTCTTGCTGGACCAGAAAGTGGGAAAG